GGCAGAGATCATCTCTCTCTTGTTCAGGAAAAAAAAAAATCTGATTTAACAGATAGGTAAGTCAGTGGGCTTAATAATGAAGCAAAAAGTTTGATGGTGTCATGCTTTTATGGAAAACATACTAACAGCAACACTAGCACTAGAGTATACAGACTCTTACAATGTATTTTCATATATTCACTTAATCAACTTTTCATTTATGGTAACTGTGAAATCACCACATTCAGAGTCAACTACCTTGGTATCTTCAATACTAGCCCTGGAGTCTTTAAATTATGTCTACCTTAATGTTGAAATAGTTTGAAATATATTATACTAGCTTGCTATATTTATTTATTACTTTTATGCTTCTATGAAAGTTTGTGTTATAATTAACTTTTGAGGAACTAAAATCTAACTAATTTAAGAAAAGAACAATGAATGCAACTTTTAACATTAATGTAAATGATATGGAAGTTCATATGCCAAAGTCATCTAGCCCAGTCAAAGGTAAAATAAATTTGAACAAAATTGATTCACTGCTAGTTCATACCTAACTGCCTAGGAAACTTGATAGATAGTCAGGTATTCCAAGAACCACACTGATAAACACTGCCCTAGAGACCTGTGTTATTTCTGACATGAAGCAGGCATCTGAAGAATAGTTGTTAATACACTCATTTTTACTTGCTTTAATTGCTTGTAGCTTACAATGGAAAACTGCAAGAACTGTTCTTTGTGTTCTTGTACCATTGTGTCATAATGCCTACATAGCATGTCTGGCTCACCTTGGTTAGGTGTAGCCCATGGGCTATATCCATCTGAGCATTTGGTAGACTGTAACTGGAATTTGTGGGTTGTAGCACCAAAGACCCTGTGTATCTTATTCACATCTGTGCACTTGGACATTCACATATTGTGTTATATTAGTAAAAGTTCCAAAAATACTTATTAAATATACAAATCAAAGTTGTATCAATTATCATCTGTTGTGATTTGGACCTAACTATGAGGAACAAAAATGTTCTATTTGAGCAGAAAGTATCTACCTACCAAAAGGCATTTCTGAGATACTCAGCTATCCAGTTATTGCCCTAATCATTAACAGCTAACATGATCAGCCCTTTCTTCTTAAAGTTACTATTTATCACTTGATCTTTTATAGTTTTTCCTGTTTCAAAACAATTCTGATGTTTACAAATGCCTTGCACACACAAGCTTACATAATACACTGTCTGTTATATGAGAAACCCAGATTAAAAATAAGGAGTCAAATAAAAGATACCTAATAAGAATAGGAAGTGGGGGCTCACTGGAGAAAGGGATCAAGAGATAGATGGAGTGGGGAAGGAGCAAAGGAAAAGGGTATGAACAAAGGAATTAATGTGGGTTATGGTACTTCTATCAAGTTCCCATGAGGAGCGTAAACATCATGTATTATACATATGTGTTAACAAACAAAATTCTCTTTTTAAAGTCTCATATATAATTTGTATACAACTATATCATGAAAAACTCCTCTAATAGTATTACTTTCCATTGAGTAATCTGGCTAGCTTTAGGACATGACGTGTGTATGTGTGTTGACACGGGTGTGGGGAAGGGGATGTTTTAAACAAATAGCAAATAAAATATCCTTTTAAAGGTTGTTTTGTTTGGTAAGTTTTGCCTTAGTTTTATGCAAAGAGATTGTTTTTGTCTCTGTGTATCTTCTTTTTTTTTTGTACTGGGGCCTGAACTCACAACCTGGTACTTGTCAGGCAGATGCTTGTGCTGCTGAGCTAACTCCCTGGTCCTCTCTGTGTATGTTGTGATGACTTATTCCTGAAGTTAAGAAAATAGCAACAGATGTCAGAATGTATTCTATTTGTCATAGTTAGCTATGAAAAGAGAATGGGTATGAAAATGGTGAGATTTTAAACTGAGCAGAGGAACAGGCTCAGATTCTGAAAATAGTTAAGATTAAGACAAAGCTTAGGGAATTTTTTTTTTTCATATTCCACGTAGCAAACCACTAAGTCAGGTATCACCTTTCACAACACAAAAGCTGCCACAAGCTAAAAACCGTACCATTCCTGTGGTGTGGCAGTACTATTTTTAAGTTCCAAATTAGAACCCTCTGCAACAAGCCTAAAATGTCCCTGTATTATATTTTGACCATGTTTTGCTAATGTATTATTTAAATTATCAAAAACATGAGAGTGATATAATTCCCCTTGAAATCTGCCCTGATTTCTAACATCTGAATGTGACAATTGCTACTGCTCAGATATAAGTTAACCAAAGTTTAGACTGGAAGGGCATAATCCTTATATCCAGGACAGAGTTTTAATTAAACAAATGTGAGTTACTAAACAAATAAAATAAAATAGAACAGGAAATTAGTATTTCAAATTCTTGATAATCAGATTATAGCTAAAAAAGTACAAATGAAAAACATTTAATTTCTTTATGTGTTAGAAAGCACCTATTATTTGCAACTGAGCTTTACACAAAAATAAATTCTAAACAAATAAATAAAAATTTAAAAATTCTAAAATGTAACTACTGTTGCAAGTGATATTTGGTTTTTTCTTCACTCTTTCTTTGCCAATACTTTGTTGTCCTGAGGTCCCAGCCCTGTGATATGTACACAGCACATGCATAAACATTTTGCAAGATGAAACTAGTCATAAAAATGTCTAAGAAGAAAGTTGTAAGCAATTCTGTAAGAAATAGAGGCTCAAATAATGTATATGAGCTGGTTACAGATACAGCAATCAATGATAAAAGGGTTAGTCCATTTGGGAACACTGAAGAGTGATTCAGAGCAGACAAACATTTTAGGATCTTGGATTCAATAAAAGCTTTATAGTATATATAGGTCTTTCTGGTTGTACTAGTAGAATAGAATCACTTAAGTCATGGATATAACCAAAGTTAAGTTTAAACAAATTTAGGGCTAGGATATCATCCTCTACACACTAATCTGATTTTAATTATAAACTTAACATAAAGTTTTAGTTGTAAATTTTTTTCAAAAATAAAGACAAGTTCATAATTATAAGGGACAGTGTTTCTTACTTCATATTCAATAAATATCAAATCATTATGATCTATGTATATTCTCAAAAAAGTGAACTTAGAAAAGCTTTTCTTTTTTTGGTACTGAGGACCACACTCGCAACCTTGTGCTTGCCAAGTAGGTGTTTATTTCACTGAACTAAATCCCCAGCCCTAGAAAAGCTTTTATTAGGAACCTTATTTATAACCTGAATGATAGCTGTCATGAAGACACTCTTAAAAACAGAGAAATCCTTATCTCTTGTAATTTTCAATAAAAATTTAAATTATATGAAGCCTTAGATTTTTCCTATAACCCTCATATTAAATTCTGTGCTTAGCATTAAAGGAATTAAAGTCACAATAAATTATTGGAAACACAAATTAAGATGAAAGAATGAACTGAGAAAGTCCATGCAAATATTATTTATTACATGGCAATATGTAAATCTGGTACTAATGAGACTCAAGATTTAAATGGTTGAATAATGTGTTTGGTGAATTATTGTCAATCAATGCCTCTGTTCCAGGATAAATGTAACCTTGAATGGCAACACACCTATCATTACAAATTCCTAATTAAGTACAGTACTTTGTTATTTCAAAATGTCAAAAATATGGAATAACAGATAAACATCTTTCTACTACTTACTCAGTTACCTTTACTTCAGAGTAAATGAAACATTAAGAAAAATTATAATCTCAACATCTTTATAGCATTAGAACTTAATGATCATTAAAGACTAGTTATAAAACTCAAATTTTCATGTTAGTATAGATACATCAAGTTGTGTATTACAATGCAATATTGTTTCTTCAAGTTATCTTATTTCATGTAAAGTCTTCTAAACATTAATTTATTCAATCACTAAACAAACAATTGAATACTGATTTTGCTTTAGGTACAGTATTAGGGGACAGAGTTGTCAATATGAATAAGATATGACCCTTACTCTTGAACTGAAAGCCTACAAGAAAGAAAGCCTGAAAGAAACAAGCAAATAAAACAGTTTAATAGTACAGGGTTATATGAAAACTGTCTACGTATTTTGTACTTGCAATAACTAATATGTGTTGTATTGAAAAAACTCATATTCAACTTTTATAATCATACTCTCCTTGTTTTATGGAAATTTTGTAAAAATTAAAAGCAAACATATTAGAACTTTCATCATATCTCTAAGTTTAGCATCTTGAATTAACAAATGGTAGTATCCCATATTTTACTTAAGGCTATTTTTCAAATACAGAAGTTTCTGGATTGATCAAGTACTAATAATTCATTACTTGAAATTTTTATTATAGCTCTTACCAGCTATATGACCTTAGTGAAGTTCACTAAACTTCTGACCCTCAGTTTTCTCATCTGAAAACAGAATCATACTAATTATACTAATCTGGGCTGGGTTGCCTTCCATTTGGCCCTCGTGATCAATGTTCTACAGTTTGGCCCTAAGTGGTTTTCCTGCCCTCAAGTTTTTACTTAGTTTAGGTCAACAGGAAGTACTAGCGAGACGTTACAGTAATGAAAGAAAATGAAACTATTTTCTAGTGACCCTTACTGACAGGCCACCAAGATTGTGTGTCTGTCTGTCTGTCAAGCAGTCCTTTTCACATAGCACTTTTTCTTAAGCCTGGAGCTAAAACTGACTGACAAAATCCATAGAGTAGACAAAATATCCTGCACTGTAGTTTCTTCTGGAAACATGCCTCAGCCTCAAACTCATTTCTTGCAAATTGACCTCCTGTTACCATCTTGAGTCACCTGAAGTGTAAGCATTCCACAAATTTAGGCAAGTTACTGAGTCTTGAGAGTACAAAAAGACTAAAACATAACCTCAATGGTATGTAAGGCTTTGCTTAATCTAGAAATGTATCTTCATGATCCTTACTTACCAATCATGATACAGGCATGCATCATTACAATAAATTACCTCACTGAAATCCTGTTAAAAGTGTGCCTGACCTTTTTGCCTTACCTCATCCTTTATGTCTTCTTGTTGTTGGGCTGAGAATATCTCCATTGCAGCCATGAGTCTCATCATCAGCTCATCCACTGTAGTGTTACCTAACAATACAGGGAGCACCAAACTTTATTATATATAAAATTCTCATACATAACCTCAAAGTATTTAAGTTATTAAAATATAGATAATGATAAAATTAATCAGAAAGCAATAACTACAGTCTAAAGATTATAAGCTGGTATGTTAAAATCAAATTAAAATATTTTCATGTTTTCACTGAATTGCTTCACATGGTCAATAAGAAAGAATAAAGTGGTGCACTGGCAGTTGAAATTGCAGTAACACATTGGCAGCTGAAATGTCAAAAAAGCTGTAAAGGATCTTAATGAAAAGGATTTTTAGCAATATAAAGAGAAGAATTTCCAAGTCATGTACTTCAAATTTTTTAAGTCATGAAAATGTCTTCTTAATATCAGAAACAATTACTAATTATTTTAATGTCAGTGATTAGGCTAAGCACTTTACATATTATTTCATTTAAGCTATACAACAATTAACTAAGGGAAGGACAATGAGTTTTAAAGAACTCAAATAACCTGCTCAGCCAAGATCAAGCTGCCTCAGTGGTAAGGCTAGAATTTGAAACCGGTAAGTCTAAGGCAAAAGCCTGTTTTCTTTGCCACCTCTGAATGCTGTTTTTGCATAAATTATCTCCTATTAAAATTTTTCTGGTAAACTAACAGTAATTCAATTTCTGAAAACATTCAATTTCTTTTACTCCCTAATTTATATTTTCCTCTTTTGGTTACTTGAAGAGGCTATTTAAATGTTTGGTTTTGTTAATATTATTTATTCCCTATCCAAATTCATGGCGTTTGACAAACATACTATTCCCTGAATGCATGTAAGTCATTGTTATTTATAAGAATGCAACTCAGGAAGATAAATAAAGATAGGAAATTCTCTCAAACTTACAGGCAGAAAGAGAATTTTCTCCAGGAGTCTTTTGCATCACATTAGTGAAATGATCACCAATAGAATAATAAATAGCAAATATCCTGGGTAGTGTTTTCCAAGAGTAGGGCTTAAATGACATGATCTTTCTCTGGTTCTTTCCTCAGTTTTCCAACTATGATTATTGGTGGGATGGGGTGAGGGAACACTACTAGTGTTCAGCAAATGAAAATTTATTCATATCAGCACTGCTCTCTCAAATCAGGTACAGGAAAAAGATTATTTTGATATTAAGCAAATAGAACTGGTTTTGTGGTTAGAGTTCCAACCCAAATTCCACTACTTATAAGCAATATGTTCTAGTACCTAGAAAATGCCTAGTACCTTACAAGGTTAATAGATATTTATTTAATAAAAGAATAACAGAATGAGTAAATTGTAGCTAAGAATCAATTTTTGTATTTTCAAAATGAAAGTAATACTACCTCTGTTAGGGTCTTGGAATAGAGATGTGTCCAGTACACAGCACACAAAATTCCACTGGTAATTTTTATTAATACACATAACAAATAGCAAATGAGGTTTAGGAATACTGTTAATGTAGATTTTATCAGGCAACTCTCTGAATTTCCATATCTCATTTGCAAACTGCAGTGACTGAGATTCAGAGCATAGGAAACGAATACTTTATGGAGTAAGCTGGAATCACTACTGGGAAAAAACTATAGTTATACATGTGACTACACAGTGACCATTGATTTTCAAGGTTAAGCCACTGTTCCTTACTTATGGGTTAGCCTTAAATGGAAGACTCACTGCCAAAATGGGCTGGTAGGTACTCTATACCTAAACCTTTAACTGATACAAGATAGAGAAAAGGTACAGTGAATACAGTACACAACAAACTTACTCATTATATTCTACTGAAATAGTTCTCATAACTTTTTGATCTCAGGGTTCCTTTAACAGTCTTAAAAATTTGAGGCTCTGAAGTAACTTTTGTTAATGTGTAGTATAGTTGCCACCATTTCTAAAATTACAAAATGAAGTATTTAATGTATAGTTATCAATTCATTTAAAAGTAGCAATACATAGCTGGGTGTGGTAGTGTATGTTGTAATCCCAGCATTCTGGAAGGATGAGGCAGGAAAATCACAAGTTTAAGCCTTGCCTGGGAAACTCAAAGAATAAAGGGCTAGGGATATAACTCACTGTGAAGACTATAAGTTTCAACTTCCAGTGCCCCACTGCCACCACTACCACCCCCCCCAAAAGAAGTATAAATGTGTTACAGGTTAACATAAATATTTTTGCAGAAAAAAATGACTTTTTCTAAAAGACAAAATTAGTGAGAAGAGTGGTACTGATATAATACTTCCACAAATCTCTGTAGTGTCTGGTTCAATAGAAAACAACTATATTTTCATATTCACTTTTATGTTAAACTAGATACAATATGTTGCATTGTTTGAAATTCATGAAAAATAGCTGGCCTCACCCATATATGTAGTTGGAAAAGGAAGTATTTTAATAGGTAATTGTGTATCTTTGGAAACTACATTCAGACAAGCAGAAGTTTCTTCAAGTAGATGTGTGTGAATTCAATACTTTTATCAATAAAGTTTTTGGACTTTGTTGTATTAATCCATTGACTTTTTTTCCTAAAGAAATAGTCTCAGGCCAGGATATAGCTCAGTGGCCACAGTTCCTGCCCGGCAAGTGGAAAGTCATGAGTTCAGTTCCTGGTATAAATGAGAGAGAGAGAGAGAGAGAGAGAGAGAGAGAGAGAGAGAGACAGAGACAGAGACAGAGACAGAGACAGAGACAGAGGCCATGGTCTCACTATGTTGCTGAAGCCTTGAACTCAAAATCTGGTTGCCTCAGCCTCTGGAGTAGCTAGGATTACAGGCACATGCCATCATGTGTGGTTGTATTGCCTTTTGAACAAGGTCTTTTTTTAAGAAAATACTGGTTAGTGAGTTATGCATTTCTTCTGAATGCTGACACATTTCACTGTACAATATTAAAACATATTTGTTAATATCATAACTAAAGACCTTTTGAACAAGGTCTTTTTTAAAGAAAATACTGGTTAGTGAGTTATGCATTTCTTCTGAATGCTGACACATTTCACTGTACAATATTAAAACATATTTGTTAATATCATAACTAAGGTAAACAGAAAAGTATTTAAGCTATCCATCTTTTTGTAGAGGACATAAAGTTTTGCTTGAGAATTCAAGTTTTATTACTAGCAATAAACACTATCAGTTCTTTTATGTGTAAGTGACAGGAATACTTTGTTCATTTTATAAAGAATGTTTGCCAGCCACTCAGGCTACAAAAGCATAGTGTGCCTGTCAGTGATATTTTCAAGTAAAAATACTTTTTGGAAAAAATTGATCAGCTCAAGCAACTGCCTATGTGCTGTTCTTTGAGACAAGTCGTGCACATTGGGATGCTATAGAAGAAATGCTTGATCTATTGCCCACTGCGTCATACAAACCACCAATAGCGTTAAAATATAAAACAGTAATTTGTATTGCTCCATCAAGGACATTCTTAAATGGCTCTTTCTTTTCTAACTTCAAGTACACAGCAATGATGAATATATCCACTAATATAGTTTTCTACCATTGTCTCGAATCATGCTAATGTGACAAGAGTTTTGCCACAGCATTTGAGCCATTAGAACAAATGTTAACACATTTTAAAAGGAGGAAAAATGCCTATTACAGAAATGAAAATAATTTTGACCTTGCAGATCCTCTGAAAATATCTAGGCAACCTCTAGGATCCATGGTCCCACTTTGAGAACCACTAGCTGTTGCAATATTGCCTCTGACAAGGAAAGCTAGGGTGAAAAGTTTTTATTTTCATTATCTATTTATCCTATGTAAATTTGATCCACCAGTAGATTCCCTCATCCTCTGGTACTGTGGGTCTAACTCAGAGGCACTCTTGACACTGAGCTACATGCTCAGCCTTTTTATTTTTGAAACAAGTTCTGTGTAAGTTGCACACGCTGGCCTCAAACTTGTGACCCTCCTGCCTCAGCTTCCTGAATTGCCACAGTTACAGGCACATGCTGGTGCCTGGTCCCCCTAGGTCTTTTTAGACAGCTTATGAAACACAGGTTACAGAGAAAATATAAAATGCCAAGTTTGTTTCATTTGGGTTTGAAAGGCACTGGAATCTACATGTGTCCCTGCCCCACTAGACTTAAATGGGGCAGAAATGAAGTACTCCAGACTACAGGTTTCACTTCAAGCACTTGAAAGCCTTTTTCTGGTGGCAGAGAAGACACACTGCTTTCATTTAAGTTCTGTATGAACACAGTAATATTTTAGACTGATTCTTGGAGTGCATTTGTAACAGACAAAGAAGCTTCGTCCCCTGTTTTTTGGCTAAAGAATGTGTACACTGCAATTAAATCTATAGGGTTCCAGTAGCTTCATGCCTCAGAGTTGCATTATACAAAAGAATCACACAAGTGAGGAAAACTAGTTGTCACTATAAACAATCCAATTTGCAGTATCTAGTCACTAGATTTCATTAAAAATAAGCATTTCTTTCAATTAATCAGCATTACAGTAATAAATAAATACTATTAAGAAATGTCCTATTTGACAACTATATGACCTAATTTTTAGAGAATTTAGCAATTCTAAACATTTACATTGAGTATATTCCAAGAACTTGTAATTTTATTAAGATATTTTGCTCTACTTTTTATGCAGCATATTTCATCTTATACAGCACCCTGAAGACATTTTTCTTTGGAATGTTCTATATGCTAACATACAAAGATATTTATCAATAGAGACTGTCAGCTTTGATGCTTAAAATTGTAAACATCACATACACAACATTTCATTCCCCTGTGACATGTACTTTACCTTGTATCACATTTAACACTTCATTAGATGATCGCTTTCCCATTATAATCAGGAAGAGTGGAAACTGATCAGTTTTTTGAGTACGAATGGTTTGTACAACAACACTGCCAAAGTGTCGATTGCACATTGTTAGAAACCTAAAATAAGACAAAAATCCAAAGTAAATTCTGTTTCAGAGTTTCATAAATTTATTGGTACCACAACAAAACCTCACTATTACTTATGTAAAATTATACACTGTTTTGTAGGATACATAAAGTCTTGCTAATACTGAGTTTTCAATTAAATCTTAAATGCTTATCATATAGGAAAACATGGAGCATACATAAACCCTGTTGGACAGCATGGAATTCTCAGTCTTAAATATCTGAAGCTGTACCTCCTAAACTATAAAAAAACAAACCAAGTGAATTTCAAGAGAAAAAAAATTTTAAAATAGTACAAACAACAATACTCTGGTATAAAGATATATCAACTAGCATCAGTCTACGAAACAGAATTTAGAAACACTTTCACAAGTCTTTAGAATCAAAAATTTCACTTTAGAATTGTTCTCTTTAGTAGTAGTAGGTCTTCTAGTTTTGTACTTAGTATGAGATAAAAATAATAATTCTAAGCTTTTGACCAAAAAAAGCTCAGAGATATTAGCATACTGAAGTCTAGCATTAGTATTCTTAACACGATCTGGAATAAATGAAAAAACTGATAAAGCTTTTCTCTTCTATTAGAGGACTGTTTGAAATTAGCATTTCTTTCAAGAGAAAAGGGTAGCTTATGATATGTTTTCGGATCTGATGGTAAAAAGTAAATGTCATAATAATAATGAATTATGAAAGACCAAATGCAAATATAGAATGCTTTAATAAGATCCAATTTAATAAAGTCTGTAAAAATAATGGACTTTTAATAACACAGGTCACAAAAGGCAAAACAGTGGAAATTCTAGGGACTAGCCACTGGTACTGGCTTATTAATTCTTAATTATGTTCATGAAAGGCAACTTAAATCGTGTGTTTTCTTATGCCTTATGATAATATTTTAGGTAACAACTCCTCTGAAATGTATGTTCTAGTTGATGAGCAAAGTCCTGTTGTCACATGCATTAGAAGGTAAATCTATTTGAAAAGACAAACGGCATTAAAATGTCATGTGCTCAGATTCATTTGATATCCAAATTCAAAACAGAATCAAACCTCTTAATTTTTAAAGCCAATATATTTTTTGTCTATGGAAATTCAGCTCAAGTTAGGCAGACTCCTTAATACCCTGAGTTGTGGCTACAGAAAGGAGATCTTGTTAAGGGCTACCAGACCTGTCAGCAAGAGTGTCAAGACAAGTTAGCGCCACTGCACTAAGTTCATCGGGAGGCAGGTTCATATACACATTTAGAGCAGCAATAACCAGACCTCAAGGCAATTTGAAATGACAAAGCCTTAAGAAATCCATTGTCAGCCATGAAATATCAGTGCTCCCATGAAAATTCAAATCTTCACATTCCATAACTATTATGGGATAAAAAGTGCTCAAGAAGCATAAGCCTCTATACCAAATTTCACACCCATATAGCTTTAAGTCATCAACGGTGATGTATAGATCAGGAGACTAGCAAGTTGGGATCACATTTTTCTTTTTGCTTCTTAAGAAAACACCTGAAGTCAATTTTGACCTTGATCTGATCATTGGCAGTCTCTAAAATTAAACATGTCAAAAAACAGTTGGAATGCCACTTCTTACAAAAGACAGAAAATAAGTCTTTGTTGCTTTTACACCAATGGATTAAGTAGACATCATGCAGTAGATGCCCATCACAGCACTAGTCTCACATGAGATACTAAATTCTAGCTAAACAGAATAGCCCCGCCCCCGCCCCCCCCCCCCCCCCGCAAAAGGAAGGAGAGTAAGAAATGAGGGAAAATGGAGGGAGGGAAGAAGAAAAGAGGTTGGAAGGAGGGATGGGGAGAGCAAAAGAGAAGAGGAGGAGGACGGAAAGAGACACATTGGTTTAGTGGAAAGAGACAAAGGAAGGAGGCTAGCTCAGTGGTTTGTGGGTTTTTTATTTGTTTGTTTGTTTTTACACAGGGTCTTGCTATGTAATTCTGACTGGCCTGGACTTACTATATAGCCCAGGTGAACTCATGGTAATCCTCCTGCCTCACACCCCCAAGCGGCTTTGAGAATTTCATTTCAAGAATTTTTTTGAAATTGAAATTTCATTTCAAGACAATTCTGCAAGCATATTTAAGATCTTTGAAGTCTAGTACTCATTCAGATAACTACAAAACCCATAATGTGATCAGCACCACGTGATCCAATTACTTTAGGCACACACATACACACGTATCTTGGAAGATAAAAAAAGACAGCCATTTTCTCCTATTATAGAACAGTTGTCATTGCTTATTATCTCAGGTTTGTAGGAATCAGTGGCCTCAGAAACCATGAAATCTGACTGAAAAAAACAGAGTCCATTGCAGTGTATTCACAACTTTGGCCCTGCCACTAGGTACACTGGCATACATATATCTGTTCAAAAGGAAGAAAATGTAATTATGATACAGTTAGATTTCTCCTTCCAACCTCTTTTCTTCTTCCTTCCCTCCATTTTCCCTCATTTCTAGTTACTGGTTTTATTTTCATTCAAAAATAATCAATTAGCAGGTATCATATTAGGAAAATAAAAAAAAAGTACAAAATTAACTCCTGATGGATAAATAAGAAACCTATGATATTGTCCCTGGGAACTTGGAGACAGAGACAAGAATTTTTTTGTAATGCCTTCAGAGCTTTTGATTAAAGTGTTTGCCAATAGTGAATTAAACATAAATGCTAAATGTAAAATAAATCTTACATAAAATAAGTATGAAATTTCAAACTTCTAAAACAATCTCAATCAAATTTGCCTTTATTATCAGTTTTTTGTTCAAATATATCTTTTTCATCTTGTAATTACTGGTTGGGTGGGTAATGTTTTAGCCTTCTAAGTAAAATTAATAATCTGGCATTTGTAAAGACTGAATGATATTTTAAGTAGATGTGTATGCTGCTATATTCATAACTATCCACTACACATTTTTAAAAATTATTATAAATATGAGACAAACATCCTAAAGCATGTCCATGAGGGAAAATAGTCCACAAAGTAGAATTACTGGGCAAAGGATAGAAACATTTAATGACCATTGATACACATTACATTTCTAAAAGGATAGTATAATGACTTTCTATGAAAATAGAAATATTGTGTCTTTGTTATAAAGACAACCAAACTAAAAGGAAATTTTAAGAAAACAGGATAAAATTTGAGAGGATTTAATTTAAAAAAGTATCTATCACCTGTTTTAAGGCTTAGCCTTCCCAGCAACAGTAAACTATTAGATTATGTCAATAAATAAGTAGAGTTTTAAACATCTATATAATTTATTCTCTTCCTTATACTCTTTTTGGGAACAGGATGGTATAGGGAGTAGGTCCTTATGGATACTAGACAAATGCTCTACCACTAAGCTACACCTAACCTGCCTCCCTAAGAACTATGTAATTTCTTAATCTCCTTATTATCTATAAATTACTCAAGGTGAAAGGCTTTAAAGCACTGACAATTTAATGACAGGGTATAGATAATCTATAAGGGACTAATTTGTATTACAGGAGGTGAACAATAATTGTAAGTAGATAATTGGCTTTATCTCCTCATAACAGGTTGAGCATTCCTAATCTGAAAGTCCAAAATCTGTTACGTAGGCAATCAAAAAATTTCAGATTCTGGAGTATTTTGGATTTTGGATTAGGGATATTCACTCAACAGGTTCTCCCTCCAAAAAGGAGCAGAAGTTCATTTCTGTTCACTTCAACATGTTTAAATGTATGCAAATACACTAAAATCCAAATTACTCTGAAATCTGAACACTTCTGGCCCTAAAAATCTCAAATAAGGTTCAAACTAGAAATCCTACAATCTTAGTCGAGAGGAAAAATACAGAAGAATTAGTCCAACTATTTGAAATGCAGAAACTCATTCTCTAGCAATGTAAAGAAAAAATTAATTTTGTAAGGTTGTGTAAGAAAACAAAAATATATTAAATTCTATAACATTTCTATTTTGCCTTTTATAAAACAATAAGTATTCATAAATGCCTACTAAATGTTTGACAATTTTTGTCCTTTGAGCACTAAGACTATTCTGGCTTTGATAAAGTCAGGGAAAACTTTGTATTTTACAGACAATATCATAATAATTAATAGTATAATAGCTGATACCTAATAACTATCTAAGCTAATACCAAGTAGCTGACTACAGCTATATGGACAACTACTAGAAGAGGAAACCAGACAGTTTTTAAAGAGGAACTAATTCTCTCTCATCTATCCATTTCTTAATACCTAGTGTCTACTAAATGTGTTGCATAAATGGGTCAGTTCATGCATCTGTAACATTTATCTTCACCACCACAATGTTGACCAATCTTCCTTTTCCTCTTTCAGCTACATCTGAAAACAATTTAACTAAAAGATGAGCAATGTAAAAATTATGATCTCCAGGGCCCCCTTTCCTGTGCATCCATCACCACGAAGTCATTTATACCTTCAAAATAGGTACAAGTTCATGATTCTAATCTTGCCTTACAATTTTTAGCAAGCTGAAGTTTTTATATGATTTTACTGTCATTACTCACTGACTTTAAAAAGATGCAAGATATAAAAAATATTAACGTATTAGAGAAACTGGGAATTACTACAAGCAGCATAGTCAAGAACTAAGATGCTGGAGTCAACAAACCTGATACTGTCACCTACTTGTTTCCTTGGATAACTTACTCTGAGTTGATCCTCAGTTTTTTCATTTATAAAAAAAAAATGATACCTCATTCTGGAATCAGTCTGCAAATTAATAAATATTATTTCTTTTTCCTCTCTTTTCTGTGCTTTCAAGTTGGCTCTCCCCACAAGTTAAAAATCTGGTGAATATTTTCTACAATAAGTTTACAGTCATATAACTTCTAGAGTATACATCAGCACCATCATAAGATAATGGTCCACTTTAAGGTAGAGATTTGAATATCCCCCCCTCCATTCTATGTTGCTGTGTTCTGGTCTGCCAAATTTGGGGGCTTTAATTTTATTATATGAAACATTTTCA